TGCTGATCCTCGTCCGAACAATCATCGAGTCTCTTGGACTCTGGTTCTCTGTTTCCTCTACTATCTTCCCTTACCCAGCTCCCGCTACTCGATTCCCTGGAGTGCATTATTCCCCGTCCTTCTGGTGGAATTATTCTGCTAAAACCCTGTGAAACCACCGCTGTTTCCCCATCCTTGTTGGGAATGTCGAGTTCTTCCTCGACTGTCTCGTGCCACACAGGTTTTCTCCCCATCTCTATGTCGTGTACCGCTTTTTCAAAGCTCGGGCTTGACAAAGCCCCGTTCATTGTCCTTGGCTCGTTCGTAATCTTCGCTCTGAAGTTGTTTTTCCGTGGAGGAACGCTCGAGCAGAACACTTCCAAGAAATTTCTCAGTATCCCTTTGTTGAAAGGGTTCTCTTGTCTATCATATCGATACCTGAAGTTCTCGTACGTCGACTGCCCAAAAAACAGCATAGCAAACAACGCAAAACCCTAATGTTACAATGCCCCGATACCCGGAAATCAAAAGGAATGTACGAGTGGGTATTAGAGAATGTTTTTGCTTACTTGGTTGGTACTGATTAGATACAAGTGGAAGCCGGTAAGCCCGCCGACGAACCAGACCGAGACAAACGTGTAAAGTATGAGGGCGATGGAGGCAGGAGTCTTGATCAACGCTTTCCAGATCGTTGTCCTCTCGCCATCCATGATCCTTTTCACGTAGATCCAGCAAAACACGTGCACGTAAATGCAGAGAAGCGTCGAACACAGGACAAACATGAAGTAAAACCTGTAGTTTCTCTGCGTTCGAAAACCAGAATTCACCATTAAAGTCAAACGAAACAACCTCATTTAGGAATTTATCAAATGTTCATGGCAAGTTCTTGCCTTTTCGAGATTTCACTGTTCTATGGTCAAATTTTCAGTTTATTCTTTGTCCAACCTATGACGGGTAAAGGCAACGTAAAACAAGATTTTGTGGTGAAATTACCAATCCGACGCACTGGCCAAGCCAAGGGCAGTGATGGTCGAACTTTTGCACGCAGTTGTTGCAGATAGAGCAGTGAGAAGCTCGAGGTGGTCTATAAAGCATGCAGGTATCGCAGTATTTGATCTTCACAGTGACTCCATTCACCACCATATCCTTTGTCCGAGGCAGCCGAAACGGGGGAGTTCTGCTCATACGCGGCTCCCCTTCTTCGCCTTCAGGAGGATATAGATTTCTAGGTATTATTCCCGGGTCTCTCCCCGAGGTTAGGAGAAGAAATATCAGATCCTGAAAACACACACACACCAAGATCGAACTTATTTTATCAAGAAACCGAGGATTAAAACGCTTTGTAAAAATATTTGTGAGACAAAGGAACTTACAAGTAAATTAAGTCCAATGGCGATGGCTAATATTGATGCTCCTCTATCGTGGGGGAAGTCATCCATAAACTTTCTTGCAACAAAAACGCAGAAGATAGTGGTCGGAGCTGTAATCAAGAAGATGCTAAGCAAAATAGATTGGGCGTCGGGTCCAAATACGAGCCTTCCACCGAGGAAGAACACCTGGAGATTGGTATAATTTTTTTTAGCACAGCTATAAAATGCAAAACCAAAACTTGTTGTCCCAAACCCGACCACACACCTCAGACAAAATCCTTGAACTTTACTTAACATCCTCGGACCTCAAAGCTTGTAAAAGTTAACTGAAATTCGATATTGCTGATGGCATAAAACGTTCCTACCAAAATTTCATCCACTCGGAGAAGAAACTATCGATGGTAAATTCTCCCAGCAACACCTCCAGATATGTGAGGAACCAGATGGGGAACAAACAGAAATGACATTAACCGCACATCATAGCCATGACCATGTTCAGATCGACCTCATGTAAGCAAGCATCGTTCTAATGGTTTCATCAAGGTTCAAAACATGTTCTTTATGGGCATCTGCCATTTCGAAACCGATTGAAACTCAGTCAAAAATTGGGACAAGACATGAAACCAGGAATATGGATATGGTCCTAAAGGGTCCAGAGGGTTTCAAACTCTAAACCAAATGATTCAAATAACTCTACAGGATTCAATCTTTGTCGTTAGAATTCCAAAGAACGATAAAGAGCATGACAAAAACGAAACATATCATTAAATTCAGCAGTGAATATCTTAGATTTAGGACATAGAACTCAACTTTTTGGTCTAAAGAAAGGAGCTGAATACGATTTTGGATATTCCACAACTCCTGAAAACCCAGTAATTCAACCAAAAACCTGAGCATTTTAGTTCAGATCTTAGCCAAAAAACCCTAATCTAAATCAAAAACACCGCCAATTTCTAAAAAGTCGCAGTGATCATCCAAAACCCAGATGCAGAGAGAGATAGAGAGAGATGGAAAGATAGCTCACGTTGTTCCCTTTCCAAGCCTTGTAGGTTCTGATCAGCTCCGCACCGCCGCCATCTCCGACACCGGCGGCGGTGGCGTTTGCCTGAGCTCCGGGATGATGAGCCGGCGGCTGCAACCCTAACATCGAGAGATTCTCTGACCCAGAAGAAAAAAATCGCACTTTCTCCGAATTTAAACGATGAATTTCACAACCCAAGAATTTCGAGGAAATTGAAAATTCAAAAAAAATGATTTTGACTTCGGGCAGCCAAATTGTGTGTTTTTTTAATTTGTTCTCATTTCCCGGCTACTAGTTGGCCCATTTCCAACGCCACCTTCTCATCCCCAATAGTTCTAGTCAATTCAACTAATTTCAAAAACAATTAATAAATATCTATTTATTTATAAGATTGCCACCTAATTTACATATCTATTTAATATTATTAATCCCTATTTTTCACACCTGATTTATTTCCGGTTCCACGTGGATTCTCTCTCAACTCCTTTTGAATATATATTTTTTTTTTGTTTTTAAAACATGAATTGGTGAGTTTTAACTTTTCACCGCCGTGTATTACGTATTCACTTCATAAAAAAACACAAAAAATGATAAAAATAAAAATCAGAAAATAGATTAAAAACAATTAATACTCTTGTTATACGTCTTAAATGTTGGAATATTTTGTAAACGCGTATATTTTCGATTTTAAAATTCAAAATATCCGGAGATCCCAAAAACTCCATGGATGCAGAATATACCCAAATGATGTAAGATGCATGGTCCTCGTTAAGTGTTTCCTGTATTCAAAATTTAATCTGACAATATGATCATTGTTGAAATAAATTGTCGTTAGGTAAACTATATAATCATCCTTAAGAATTTTAAATTACTCTAGCTAAGTAAAAAACCAAAATAAAAATAATTAATTTTTCATGCACGTGAATTTTGTTAACAGATCTCAATACAAAAATACAAAAAACGGAACTATTAATTTCTTTTTCTTTTTTTCCTTTTTTGCAGTAACTAATTGAAACAGATAAATTAAGTATTATCGGAACGAATTATGAGGTGGTATTTCGGAAATCAATAATTCCATAAAATTCGGAAAGGTTGACGACAGAAGTACAAGAACAGACAACTCACGTCCTCTCTGTACTTTTTTTTATTGTCCCGTTGTCAAGTTGATTCGGTAGCCGGCAATTCATAACATTATTATTATTATTATTTTAAAACCCATTTGCGTCATTTTGCCCTTTTTCGTTTCATTATATTAACCCAACAAACAATCTGAACATAACCAAATTATAAATCTTGGAATTCTTTAATATAAAATAATATGAAACAGTATTAATTGATACATTCCGAAAGTTTTTTAAAAAAAAATTTGGCGGTTCGGAAATGTTGAAACGAAACTGATTGTTCGCGGAGACTAAAAAGAGGCCGAGAGTTGGTCCAAACTGTAAAGTGGGCCGAATATTAAAAAGAGGCCCAAATAAACAATATCTGAATATAAATATTATATATGGACATTAATTAAAACAAAAAGGTCCTACCGGGAGTCGAACCCAGGTCGCTGGATTCAAAGTCCAGAGTGCTAACCACTACACCATAGAACCAAGCTCATTGAGAAAATAAAATTTTAAATCATAATATTTTAAACAAAACTTTTAAATTCTTCAACCTCTATAATATTCTTGTTGTCGGGTCCGAAATTTAGGGTTGATTATATATATATACGAAGGGGTAACTTCGAGGGTTGAAGGAAAAATCCTCATCATGAAGTTTCACAGAAGAAGTAGCACAACGAGTGAATCGAATTGAAAGTTAAAGTTGCTGTACGTGACCCTTGAATTATCTAGAGGCTTCGATTTTGTCATGAAACTTTTTGAATGTTGCTGTTACGTCCCTCCCAATTTAGTCATGCACGAAAATGACTAATCGCCCAAAAACAATAAATCTTTAAGGAAAGAAAGAAAAAGATATTTGTGTTTTGCTCTCTAGCTGCCAAATGGATCGGAATTTGGATATGTCATTATTGAAACCAAAAGAGACCTTCTTTTAGAAAAAGAGGATTACATCATTCACATAGTTAAATAGGATGTGAAGCCGGTTTGAGAGGGGAGAAGAAAATCATCGTGCACGAATTAAACACAAATTAATTAGAGTGAAGAAATTAATATGGAATGCCTAAACTAATTAAGCGTATATGATGTATTCCGTTGATATTTTTTTCTATTTTAAATATTATTAATCCATTTCGCAATTTAAATGAGGAAAAAAAAAATCAAACAATCCGAATATGGTCCGATTTATATGTAAGTAATATTAGAATCCTATATCATTATCGCTAAAATTAATTTAAATTAACTCGAGATAATTAATAAATTTTAGTATATCCATTGAACCGGCTCTACATACAATATCCCGGTTTGAATCGGCGAAATCAACTATCTATAATAATTCGTTTTGGTTGTGATACGTATATCTAAGAAAAGATACCGCAATACTTTGAATCATAATATTTATTATATCTTGTACTTGTTCCATCAATTAATACACAAATATTGAAATATCTATAGAATTTTATATACATGAAAAATAAAAGCAACGATATGGGATTCATCATTGGCGTGCCCCTTATTTTGTCAGCACCTCGGGAATGGGGTGGTTACGCATGTCCTCGAGAGTCCAAACCAATTACATGCATATTATATGATCTATAGCACTATATTGTATACATAATACATATCTATATGCATATCGTGAATTGTATAATTTAGGAACAAGATAAACTTGGTAGCATAGTTTCGGGAAAAAAATAAAGGGGGAAAAGGAAAAAGGGACAAACTTTGTGCAACGAGCTGCCGGCCAACTGTACTTTGAGAGCCATGAAACCCTAAAAGACGTTTTCCCTTAATTAATGGATGAAGTGAGGATGTTCATATTTATTTAAATTAGGAGTTTCAAATTCAATTGAGTTTTCCACTTGTTAAAAAGGCAACGTAATAATATCCATTCATCTGCGAATGTATTATCTCACTTTTTTTACGTTTAAAAAAATCAAAACGTTGCTTTTTATATTAATCAATCATTTTCTAATAAAAATATTAAGATGATATATTCAAATTTTATTTTTCTGTTCACCTCATAATTTTTGGAATATAGTTTAAAATATAATTGTTTTTGTTTTAGTTTAAATTTCTATTATTTTATATGATAAAATTTTTGATGCTCTACTTTTGTAGTTTAAATAATTTTTATCTTATTATTTGTTATCAATATCTCATGTAGTCCTCTTTAAATTTGTTGGAATTTTCAATTCTATATTGTACTTAAATATTATTCAAATACAACAAATTAATAGGTAAATACCAAAAATATACCAACATATGAAATGTTCTACACGTAGTTTCCTTAAAATGTTATATATGTATATTTAAGGAAACTACGCGTATTTTATTTGTATATATACATACATTTATTCTATACAACTTTTTAAGGAAACTAAGCGTAAAACATTTCATATGTTGGTATAATTTTACGTATTAAGGTATTTCAAAAATAATTTACACAAAATAGAATTGAGAATTTCAACAAATTTTAAAGATGGGTAATGAAATAGATACACACAGCTGTCCAAGTTGCCAAGTGTTGTGACAAAGTTTGGGGAAGATCAAAATCATTTCCTCTTCTTCCTGTTGTATTGCTATTGCTAAAAAAAAAAAGAAAAGGAAAAAAAAAAGGTAGTGATATATATTATCCCCTTCTCTTTTGAGGGGGGAGTGGAATCATCACTCATAGATATGCCAATAAAGCCTTCAATAATTAGGGCTATATCACCCCACCCAAACAAAAAAAAATAAAAATACAATTTGGTACGTATCGTTACATGGAAACCTTATCTCTAAAATCCTTAAAACTTTTGCCCCACAGTTTTCCTTTAAATAAATATTTTAGCATACAAGTACAATAATATAATAACGATGATAATAATAGTAGTAACAATATGTTACAAAATATATATATATATATATTTTTTTCGTCGTATCATTTTTTTTTCAATTGGATTTCAAATCGTTATCGCAACGCAATAATTTGAAAGGTCATAAGGAAAAATAAACCGAGGAATCAGTAATTATGCCACCTGGCACGTGTATGGTGGACTCACGTGATTTTGACCGTCACTGGTCAACTCTTTCACGGCGGATCTTCTGATCATCTTGATTCGTAGTTTTCCAAACATTGGTCAACGTAATTATTCATTTAATTAATTTCTTTATTTTTTAATCTATGCGAAGTCTTCTTCTAGTTGTCCCCTGAGATATTTATAAACACATGAATTGGTAAAATTGACCATGCTTAGTTATAGAATTTCCAGTAATTAGTGAGTTTTAAACCATAAAATAAGATTTTTTTTAGGGAAATAATTTCTAAGAATCGTACCGATATTTAATTCGCATGATTTTGTTTCACCTGTTAAAAAATATCTATCATGGAGACTATATAATATCTTATACTTTAAAGCCTTTTAATGTTGGTTATTTAATAGACAAGATTAGGTTTTTTATTGTCCTTTTTATTCGTGTCTCCCAATAATTTATTTGGCTTTTCATTTCTATCATCTGTTACAACTCTCTTTTATCTATCCATATGTCTATTTGCTTACATATATATACACACACACACTTGTGGATACATGTAATGGAAGATAAATTGATTTACTCTCTCTCCTCGTATAGATCTTAATGATTTGAGATGTGTGTCTTTCATGCCACTAGCCTGATAGAGATCAATCCTTTAATGTACAACTCTAATAAACACAAATTTATAGTAATTTCTGACGATTTATGTGATATATATTGTCGCACAATATCTATATTATATTAGAATTTACGTGTTATACTATTTTTTATTAGATTTTGATTTTTTAAATTTATAATCGACAATTCCTCTATTTAGTCTCCATCTATGCCGAATGATAAATTATAAATACGTAATGATATGCCACGTTATCCAATACCGAATATATGGTAATAAATAATATTGATTAAAAATTATAGGAAAAAAAAAAAGAGAGAGAACTAAAGTAATTTTGCATGGCATGTAATGGCCATCGGCCAATCATTTCATATCCTATTGATCTTCTCTTTATTTCTGTATTACTCTTTATATAGGGCCTCTAAGATAAAGCCGACGTGTTCGTTATCTTCATGCATGTTGTGTCATATCTTAAAGGAAAAAATATATGTTGCATGAATCGTAATCGTACGTCACGATGGACATGGTTGCCATGATGTGCCAAAAAGCTTGGAATAAAGAAGCAAACC